ATGGACCATTACTATGGTATCAATTTCAGGCATATCAAATGGTGTCTAGGTGAACAGGTCAATATTATCTCTCAGAAGTTAAATTAACTTATCATTATATTGAAGTTTGATTTTGATCTACATTTATTTTTCAAGGACGCTATCCCAAAACATAATTGGTATGAGATCTTCAACTGGCTCAAGTCGATTTTTATCCAAGTTTGATCTTTAATCAATTATCTTTTTTTGTTTAGTTAGGTCGAGACCATTTCTTATAAAAACAGATCCTGATATGATGATCAATATGTTGTTGATGACTTGCTAAATATATATGTAGTGAAATTAATATGTATTTTTCATTTCAGACTGTATTTTGGTCGACATATTAGCTTGGTCTAAATGACATGTAGTTGTTTATGTTAACTTAAGAGCTTGATCGTCTTTAGAGTTACCTAAAAAAATTTTAAAAATAGAATAAAAAAATTTTTTTATTAGATTTTAAGAGCTCAAAGTCGTTTAAGAGCGCACTTCAATCAAGTCAATCTTACGTTTTATGTTCTTACTTATGGTTTTCTACTTCTTATCGACTTTCGTTATTTACCCTTCTTTTGTGTTTTTATTCTTGGTCAAATTGCCAATCTACTTCTTAGTCCTCCCTTTCATTGTTGACATAACATTATTACCGTGGACTAGTATTTCCTAACTTTTAACCCCATTAAATGTTAGAAATTTCACTTTCAAATAGGAGCTAGGCCTATGAGTCACATAATAAATTAGCTAGGTCAGCCTAATATCATGTTGTAAGCTGATGGGACATTGATGACCATAAATTTATGGTCGATGTGATAGTCTTTAATTTTATCCCCAATGAAATCGACAGCTTAATGGTTTCTTTCACCTGATATCTGCTCATTCCCAAAACACTACTAATATTATGACAATCGACTACAACTGATCTTCACCAATTCCCATATTTTGTATAGTGTTGTAGTACATGACGTCAGTCAAGCTCCCATTATCAAATAAGATTTTTTTGACTACATAGTTATATACTAAGACTGTGATCACTATAGCATCAACATGTGGGTGTTGGATTCTTTTCAAGTCTTTCAGACTGAATGAGATAAGTTCATTTTTCTAATCTTTTTCTCTTTTTACTGAAGTGCGTACAGCCATGACCATGCCTGGATTGAACTTTTTTTGGTTGAAATAGAGTTACCTCTAGTGATCACATTAATCACCATGGTGATTGACCTATTGTTATTAGTTTAGACCTCTTCTTGAAATGGCTCGTCTCTTCGAACTTTTTTTTTTTCATTTTCTAGCCTTCTCTCTCTGCTCGAGTGCACTATCTTCAGTCTTATCTATAGTCCATTTTGAGTTGGCCTTATTTTTGCTACTCTACAAACTTCTTCAGTTGCCATCTCCTTATCAAAGCTTTGATCTCATTTTTCAGTCAACACAATCTTTAATACCGTGTCCTATGTTTTATGAAAGGCACATATTTTGATTGGATCTCTTTGTGTTTTGTTTCATTGGTTTTGGCCATCTGAGGTTGAGTTTCTTTCAATTTGCATCAAAATATTTTTTTAGGAAATATTCAATGCAATGTAGTTTTTTTTTTATTGGGGCTTCTAACCCTATGTTATCTCCCTCGTAGGGGAAGATTGTAAAAATTTTTACCTTTCTTATGATCAAAGAAGAGGGATAAGCCTCTTTCACCTCAATTATTTTTCATTGTAGCTTCAACATTTACATATTTCTCAACTATCAGTAAGATGTTGGCTAAAGTTATAGGTGGTTCTAGCGACAAGGTTAACTTTAGGTAGTATTCTTTATCATTAAGTCCACTTATCAGGGCAGTTACAGCGATCGTTTGCTCTAGGTCTTTAACCTGCAAAGTTTTCACGTTAAAATACGTGCCATAGGTCTTTAAATATTCATTGCGACCTTGGTAGATCCATATCAAACTTAGAGTTATCTTTTTCGCTCTTTAACTATTCATAAATCTAGATAGAAAAGAGTGGCTGAGCTTTTTAAATATTGTAATTGACCTCAGTTCTAGGCTATTATACCAGGATTGAACTGCCCCCTTCAAAGTGGTAGCCAGGCCTTTGTACATTAGAGCTTCGTCTGTGTCTTGCATCATCATGTTAGTCTGATAAGGTTTCAAATGGTTGAAGAGGTCAGAAGTACCGTCATATGTTTTTAAAGTCATTATTTCAAATCCTTTTAGAAGTATGGCTCTGTCAATTTTTTTAGTGAAGGGTGAGGTTTCCAGGAACTTGAGCTTGTCCTTGAATGCCATTGCTTTTATTTTTAGTTTTTCCTCTATGGCTTGCATTTGAGCTTCTCAGTCCTTATTTGGTTGGGGTTAGAGTTTGGGGTTTGTCTGTTTTAATTTTTAAGTTATGGCATATGTCAAATTGTGGCTGGGATAATGGCGAACTTGAGTATTATGTTCCTCTTCTCTAAAGGCCAATGAGGCTTCTAGCTCTTCATAGCTTGGTTGTCTTATCATGGCTCTTTAACCAAAAGTGATTAAGTCGAGCATTTTCAAAACTTATGATGGGGTTATGGTTTGCAACATTTATTTAAGGGTCTGGATCTACTTGGTCAAGGCATGAAATTGTTCCATGGTCAGGCTTGTCTATGGTGTGGGAAGTCATTCTAAGTGTTGATTATTATGCATTTCTATTCCAGCTAGGATAGTCATCTTTCTTTCCACTAAGGTTTTTTCGTTGGTGGCATCCTCTTGCTAGTGGATAAAAAGGGCCCCTACTTGACGTGTCAAATGTTTGTACTGAAATTAAACTTTAGAGTATTCTTGGGAAGACAAAAGACAAGGATGGTTAAAGGTAAAGATAGGGATTGTTCCCTACATTTGTACTTCGATGTGCAAGTCAGAATAGATAAGGTCAGAATAAGAGTAATAAGGAGAAATAGGGGTCAACTGGACTTGCCTCAATGTTTGCATGGACCTTCATATTTATAAATAAGCGATGGGAGACCATTAGGGGACAATAAAGACAATACGGATCTGATGTGGCATTGGGTGTGTCAGACTGACCTGACATGTCAAGTTAGCATAAATGTCAAAATTACCCTTGGTTGTCTGCTGAAAGCTTTTAATATAGAAAAAAAACACTATACTCTTTTGACCATTAAATGCCCCCAACAATATCAATATTAGTCCTAGCTATTGCACACAATTTTAGTGAAATAAGATCTTTCACATAATTTTCATCTGGCTAGGCATCAAGCCATGATTATTACATTTTTTGATAAAACATAAAAATGGGTATAGCTTTGACAGTAAACCCTAAATCAAATATGAATAAAAAGTAAAAATCCAAAGCTAATCTTAGTTTTGGATAAAAATTGATGGAAAAGTACCTTCCAATGCACACACCAACATCGTCTAAGCTTACTTCACACCAGTGGCAGTTGCTACGAGAGTTGAAGGAGTGCACCAAAAATGGAGGAGGCGGAGGTGATAATTTAGGGTTGGTATAGTGACAAGTAATGGGGAAAAAGAGAAAAAGGAAAGGAAACAGGTGTTAGGGTCTTAGTTAAATGACAATTTTTTTAAAGGCATAACGATGATGAAAAATTTTAACAGGAATAAAAAGGGATTTTTAAACTTGCCAAACCTTTTTTCTCTTTACACTTTTTTTTAATTTTTTATAACTAAAATTATTTAAATACTCTTCTTATAAGTTTTCGAATAGTCACTATTTTCAAAAAATTATAATACCTTTTAAAAATGCATTTTCAAGAACACTTCTCTTATAAAAAATACATTTCAAAAAATGAAAAACGAAAAATTTATAAAATATTATAAGGAAGAGAATTTCATTAAAATTATTCATTATTAGTGTAATTTAAAAAGTTATTATTAAAAACATAAATTTTAAAATTAATAAAAAAATTATTTTTATTATTTTGATTTTAGAGAAAAATAAAATCTACTAAGGTTTTAATCAAATATTTTATCTATTAATGTTACAAAGGATAATAAAAAAATTATTAGGTCTTATCAATATATAGAAATTGAAACTTCTTTAAATTGTATGAGTAATACTATTGAATATTATATAATTTTGTCAAAATTTAATATACCAATTAGAGAAACCCATCGTGATAAGTAAATGAAAAAATTTATCCAAATAATTCAATTTAATTAAAATTATTATAAAATTTTAATAATTGATAAAAATTTTATTAAAAAATGATAAATTTTAAATTTATAAAAAAATTATGTTTGTTATTTTATTTTTTAATTTAATTAAGGTCTCGTAAGATATTATTATTTCTTTAAGATGAAAATAGTAAAAGTATATTTTTTATTAATTTTAAATTTTATGATTTTTTAATAATAACTTTTTTATTACATTTATTTATAAATAATTTTAATAAAATTATTTTTCTGCAATTTTTATAAGCTCGAAAATATATTTTTAAAAATTATAAAACTTATAAAAAAATATTTAAATAATTTCATTTTAAAAAATTTAAAAAAAAAAGAAGGGGAATATATTTAAAATTCCTCAGAATAAAATGTCCAATTAAAGTATCGGTGTTCCACTGGACATTTTTGTCCTGTCCATCATCAGTGGGACTTCGTTGTGGACAAGAGATCCAATCACACCACAAATTATGTTATCCAAATATGATCATATTATCGGTTGCGCCAAAGAATTGGCTTAATCGCACCTCATTGGAGGTCCTGTCTGTTCCAAACGGGTCCTAAATTGGCCCTCAAGCTTTAGTTCAAAAGAAGATGAAACACATACTTAAGATATGGTGTAAGAATATTTATTTTTGAGACTTCAGATTCGAGGCCAAGGTTAGCAAAGGATTAAACATTTTGTCCATGAGAGCACTGTGAAACTGTTATCCCTCCACATCGGAATGAACTAAACTGAAAGAGATTTCTAAAATATGGACGAGCATATAAGCAAAGACTGGGTTTTCTGATAATGTATTACTTAAGTATTGTGCAGGAATCTGGAATTTTCAAATTTATATGGATCTGGCATTTTCATGGCTAGCTGATTTCAGAACTACTAAAAATGCAGTGGACACGTAAAAAAGGGAATAAATTACAAATAAATTCTTTCATAAGGATAACATGATTAAAAACACTATTGATACTTACATACATGCACGTACTGAAATTTTTGTTTCTTTTATTTGGTACAAATTTCTTTCATTTATCTGACTACGAGTGGGCAGTGGCCAGCTTCCCAACTTTTAATGAACAGGTAAAACATGGAAACGTCAAGAAGTGAAATTCCAGACAGAACAAAGGAAAAGCCACACTGAAAGACTGCAATAATAAACGCCTTCACTTTGATGGCCATTGAGCATGTACTACAAAAAAAACATTGGTTCCGGGCTAAGATCCATAATGCAACTTTTGCATGCCATGCCCCCCATTCTCAAGGAACTCCAGCCTTAAAACAACTTCGGGACTAACTCGTTTTCCACATCTTTTCCCGAACCACCCCTATATTTAATTTACTTTTTCAGGTCCAACCCCCTCCCCTCTGTCCTCTTTCGTCTTCAACAAAGACCAAAAATGTATCCCAGAGGAGCCGCTGTTGTCGGGGCAAGGAACAAAATGTTTCTTATCATCCAACTTTAAGACTTCCCAAACTCCACTAATGGCATAAATTGCACCACTTTCTCGAATAGCATATTTTATCCCAAGTGGATATCAACAGTGTACTCACCTGAAGGAGCTTGCAGCAATGCTACAGTCATCTGGATTTGGATGCACAAAATATTGAGCCCGACTAAGACGTGTCAACAAACCGAAAGTAATCCTAGACCAACAACTACTGAATGGGAATGTTTTGTCCCCCACCTGTATCAAACTTCAAACCAGTAGACATAAAGGCTCCCAAAGTCCAGCCTAGCCACATAATGGATCTCTTCAGATCTCCAGAACCCAGGTAGCCACAGCAAATGCAAATATTAGACCACTTTCCATCTTCTCTAATTACCCCAAATAGCTTTTATCCGAATTTACATAATAAGATAAGCTTTGCAGTTATATATTGCTGGCACACTGCCCTGTCAACATTCCAGTCTATCTGAGGTGATGTGTTCCTTCTAATAGACTAACCAATTCCACAAAATCAAGTTCACATTGAAGGTACAACTCAACTTTGCTACACATACATGGTTGATACTTGTAGAATTTAGAACTCAAGGCAAGATATCAACCTTAAATAGTTTCTTCAGTTCACCAGTCAGAATTTAGCAGCCCTTACTAGATCTGCCGCAGTTAGCATGTATAGAGAAACGTTTTATGGTCTTCAAATGCATTCCTGAATTGTAATTTCCCTGTTACACCCTTCCAACAGTACCGTACGCTGAAATGCATCCTACAAAATAGAAAGTATGAACTGATATTGAGAGGAATATTTAAAATTAATTTTAACAAATGAATATGATCAAAATATGCTAGAAAAATTTTGACGGGAAAGAACAGCTAATTTCTCATCAGTCATATAGGATGGCCTAGAGAATATTCTGGTTTTCTCGAGTCCAAACATGAGTATATTGAAGTTATGCACGGAAACAAATACATCGCAAAGGCTTTTGAGAGAAAAAATGAAGCAAGAAGAAAACAAGAAGCCAAAAAATTCCATAACCTCAATGAGTCCCTTAAAAGGCAGCAGATAAAGTCATAAACCATGCAAATAAGAGATTGTTGTTGCACCAATCAGATGTCAAAATGAAATTGAATTATCTAGTGGGTAGCAATATAGTTTGTCACACATAATTCATGTTTACATAAAACTATAAATACAAAGGTTTCTATGGGTCATTTATGACATCTATGTACAGCAAAGGAACCAAACAAGCTTCAAGTATCTGTATTTCATAACAACCAATATTCATACTAAAGGAAAATGGCATTCTAGGTGAGCTAACAAATCTTCATATTAGCAGCAAATTTGCAGGCCTCTGTAAATGCATCACTAGAAGCTATCAACAATATACAAGACAAGAAAGCATAGCATAAAATCACCAAAATAGCTGACTCCACAGATGAGTGTCACTAGAATCTCCTAGACCAATCATAGCTTAAATATATTGTCAATATGTGGTCAGTGATGCCAGAATATCAGCATTAGTTACATTTGAATAGAGTCCAACTTAATAAAAACTGATCTATGAGCTGATAACTACCATTTCATCATTTGGCAGATGAAATACGTTGCAATGATGAAATCCAACTACTGGAAGGTCCTATTTTGTTTACATGTCCATGGCCAGAATTGGCAGCTTTGGTGGGCAACATTGATTTCTCACCATTTATTTTTGAGGTGCCAGCAGGTACAAACAAAGATGAGGGTCTATGAGGGTCAAATATCTGCCAAAATCAATATGAACATTAATAATGCAAGGAAGCTACAACGCGTTCCAAAATATAAAAGCATGAAAAATAATTCCTAATTAAGACAAATCAAGGATAAAAAACTTTATCCATAAATATAATACACAAGATTGTGATTACGAAGCAAACAAGAATAGTTAGCATAAATTTGCCTTCTTATTTTGAAAAATGGTCACAAACTTACATTTTTATCAATAGTAGTATCAGAAATCAAGTTCTTCCCTGTCACTGATTTAAATTGCATGTGAACACCTGGACCTGAGACATTGCTTGATCTAACACGCTCTGTGACGTCAATTGAATAAGTAGCATTGAACCCTCCTGGCAGTTAAACAATGAACAAGTCTTGATGTTATTTCCAACTAAAACTGGCATGAAGACCAAAAGAATTTGAAATCTTACCAAAGAAAAAGGCCATTGATGGTTTTACATCTCAGACCTATCTCCTTTTTTTTATATGATACAGCCAAATGGCCAACATAAAGATTTCTATATAAATTTTTTGTATTATCTATCAATTTCATAAACTAACAGATATGTGCTTCAACAGCATATGAATAATCATCCTAGAAACCATTGGAGATGGGATATGAAAAAACTTAGAAACCAGTTTTGGATGAGGAAATTCAGGTAGAACAAAATGGTTACCTAGCTTCAGTAATCTAAAATCGACAGTCTCCAGTTTAAAGGGTGCTGTTTTGTTCTATAAATTATTTTTTTAATCTATGTAATCTTATGGCTATATAAAATCCAGTCTCAGTCCCAGAAAGAACGATAGCCAAAAAAGTACTTTAGGCATTACCTTAGACTAGCCCTATTGACTTGTGACTTTGAGAAATATATAGCCCTTTAATTATAAATCACATGATCAAAGGACAAGCATGCTGAGAAAGAAAAGGGAGGAATTTTGCAATTTTATGGGTTTTTTATAATGCTATTGCTAAAATATCCCCACAGCAACAAGAAAAAATTAATATTGGTTAATTTATACTTTGTACTGTTCAAGATGCAACATATGTAAAGAAAATTTTAGAAAATCATGTTTTCAATAAAAGTTCTTTTCAGAATGGAAAATAAACCCATACTGTTTAAAGTTTTGTTCATAAAGGAAACTAAGCTCATACAGCTCACTGACCAGAAAACAAAGAAAAAAAAAAGTGACACCAAGATTAAAGTTCTTTCGACATTGATGCCACCATCCAAATCCAAATGCATACTCTAATGCAAATATTAAGAGGCCTCTGCTTTTGACTTATTATGGGTCTTCTAGAATCCTTTAACCCAATAGATAAATTCCTCAAGACACCATTCAGTCATTTAAGCACAAAGTGCGTGTACAGGAGCTAACCTTGACGACTGTCCACACCCACTGTTAATTGATGACTGCTGCTACCTACAGGAATTGGCTGTAATATGGGTAAATAATCTTGTCAGAAAGAGCAATGATCCATTTAAAGGATACAAATACGAAACTACTAGGGCAGATTCTACAATTTATAATATTAGAAACCAGATATATACAATTCTAAATGCAATGACAAAAAAATTTTGTTATAAGTTTTAAGGAAAAGGAGCAAAATACTAACAGATAATCGGGGCTGAGATCTACTTTTTGGGGCCTGCTGGTACTTGATGATTGTCCAGTCAAATATGTAGTCAAACTCATAACCTACCACAAAAAAGAACCAAAAATTAGTTTGAACAAATTATATACAAAATTTTTCAATTATTTCATGTCGTCATCATTTTCTAGTTCAAAATCCTGATAATTAATCCAACAAGCCAACTTTTAGTATGCTTTTCTTTCCCCCTCAATAGCATATTTTAACCAACAATGTCAAAGGACATCACCCTAGATCACAATCAGCTTGTTCAGTAGCATCGGTTAAGCCTCATGCTTTGAAACAATGAGCCCTTTCCGAACACAGAAAAAGATGTAAGAGTGTAGCACATTCCAAGTGAAGAAAAATTATGACCACCAAGCATCGCAGGTATTCAACAATTTCAAGCAAAGAAATGTCAATGTATCCCTATGCAACTCAAAAGCCTCTTTTTACAGAATTGAAAGGTATTGCGTATCCAAAAATACCTTCACGAGCAAATAAATCACGGAACAGACGCTTCAAGAATCCATAGTCAGGACGTTGATCAAATATCAAGGAATGGCAATAATGAAAGTATGAAGCAAACTCCACAGGATGGGACTTACATAGAACCTTGATAAACAAAAGTCAGAGGAAACAGAAGGAATGTTAATTGAATCATACTTGAACCACAATATTGAACAGAAAGATATATAAAACGCAGACACACCTCAATAGGAGTGGACAGCTTCTTCTCACATATTTGATCATATTTCTGCTTCTTTGTGGCAGCTTTCAAACCTTGCCATGGAAGGCTATACATGAAAATTTTCAATCAGTTGAATACATAAACAAATACCAAAATAGCCAAAGGAAAGAAACATATTTGCATTAAAATCACTGAAAATAGGTTGTCTACCTTCCCCTGAGAAAATATAAAAGTACATAGCCAAGTGACTCCAAATCATCCCGCCGGCTTTGCTCTACAAGGAAAACATTAGACGTAAATATCCAAGTAAATGAATAAGTTCTTAATTCATCTTAATAAATGACCAAAAAATTAAAGTCTTTCCTTACCTATTCCAAGATGAGTATTGCTACTTGCATAACGTGCAGTCCCTGTTAAATTCTTGTTTTCTCTGCAAGAAGCAAAAGTAAATATCAGCAACAACAATTCATGACTGACATATAGCATAACTGCCAAAGAAGTCAAAGAAACAAACAAGTTGTAAATAACAAACTAGAACTGTAAACTACCTGTACGGAATGTGGCGATTAGTTGTGGAGTCTCGATATCTTTTCGCAAGCCCAAAATCAATTATGTAAACCTGATTTGCTTTGCGACCAAGTCCCATGAGGAAGTTATCAGGCTTTATATCTCTATGAAGAAATCCCTTAGATTGAACATATTCAATTCTCGTAATCTAAAATAATTCAACAATTAAAATACAAAAGTAAGTAAGAATTTATATAACCAAAAGTAAACGAATACAGAATGTCACGAATTTTAGCCCACCATTTGACCAGCCAACATTAAGACAGTTTTCAGCGTAAACTTCCTGCCACAGTACACAAAAAGATCTTCCAGACTCGGTCCGAGTAAATCGAGAACAAGTACATTATCTTCCCCGTCAATACCTGACCATTTTATGCTCGGAATTCCACCTAAACATTAATTAAAATCATGACTTCACGGTTCAAAATTCTCTATAAATTTAATAAATGAATTAATTGACGTTATAGTATGCCACTTACTTCCTCCTTGAAGAATACTGTACAATTTCGCTTCGTAAAGCAGTTGCGGATGCTTTGTTTTATTGTTCTCCTGTAACCGCCAAAATTAAATTAGTAAAAATATATTTAATTTAAAAAAAATCAAGTGATTTACAATTCTAGCTCTCATTTCTACACCAAGAAGCTTAAATGATAATCAGATCATTAAGCTAAAAAAAAAGAAGACACTTACGATCTTAATAGCTACGATCTCAAATGTGTCGATATGCGTAGCTGCGGAAACAAAATCAAAATCGTTAAAGATCACTTCAAAAAATAAAAAAGGAAAAAAAGAGGACGAGACGAACCGAGATAAATTTCACCGAAGGATCCACTACCGATCTTACGGCCAAGCTTGTATTTGCCACCGACGATTCGTTCCATGCTTCAATTGGATCGACGACTTCTATCAATCAGATCATAAAAGCTAGAGAAAGAGATTCAAAGGATTTGATAAGGACCTTTTGTTTTCGTTTTATCAGGTTTTACTTATTTTGATTTTTGTTTTTCTTGTGAGAAACTGTAACCACACACACTAGCAGACTCGCAACAAATGACAGAAAGGGACTGCGTGGGCTTTAAGGGAGAGAAAGAAAGAGGATAAGCAGAAATTAAAAATGTGAATAGGGGTAGTTTGGGGATTTAAGGTATGTGAGATAGGAAGCAGGTTGATCCGTTGACCTCTAAAGTGATTCCTGATCGCGGCGGAAGAAGGGTAGAACAACGGTTAGACGGTGAAATTTATTTTAATGAGATTGATAATAATATTTGTAAAAAATTAATATTAGTTGCTTAATAATGAGATTTTGTATTATAATCATAAAATTAAAATTAATGATAAAATATATATTTGGATGTAAATATAACGTTAGTGTGAAATGAAATGAAATAAAAAGAAAAAATTGACCATTTGAATATTAGATTAAGATTGATATATAATAAATTTTATAATATATTTGATATTTATAAAGTTAACAAATAATTGAAATTTAATAAAATTATTTTTATATAATTATATTTTTATTTTTATTTATTATATAATTATTTTATTTAATAAATAAGTTGATTATATATTTTTTAAAATTTTGATAATAAAAATTTACACTAATGGATGATAATTTAGAATATAATTATTATTTTTATATCAAAATAATAATTATTTATAACTCAAAATAAAGTTTAAAAAACAAAAGAATGAACAAAATGACAAAAAAAAAAAGATTGAATGTACTATAATTTTAAAGGTAAAAATAAAAAATAAAATTAAAGTAGGGCTTTTATAGAAAATGGTTTCAATGAAAATGAAAAGGAAATTTTATTTGCACTCAATTTAATGCTATAAAATTTTACTTTTATATACACCATAAATTCAAAATTAAATTTTTTTTATTTTTACTAAATATACACCACCTTTTACTTCTCATTTTTCATTCTTATTCTTTCTCTTTTCTTCTCTCTTCACTTCTTGAAATCAAGTTTTTAGAAAATAAATATCCAAAAATCTTTAAAATTTTTCAAAAATGAATTTCCAAGAAGATTTAAGAATTCTCAAATATCCATTTATGAGAGGCTTCAAAACTTCACGAATATTCATTTTCAAGAAAACTCAAATTTTCTTATATATCCATTTTCAAAAAATCTTAATTCTTTTTAAAAATGGATATCCGAAAAAATATGAAGCTTCTTGGATTTCTATATCCGAGAAACTCAATTTACCTTTTAATAAAAAATTTAATCATGCACTTAAAAATCTATTTACTTAATTATGTGTGCGAATAAAACTAAAATCAATATTCTCAATATGCATGTGATAAAACTTATTATTTCTATTAAGCTTCCAAAAAATCGAGAATACTTTAATCATTTTTATCCGATGCACGCTTGAGAATTTGTTCTTTTCCATTCTTACATATAATCAAGTAAAAATGGGTTTATCGATGACTCATATGTATGCATGTATACTAGTTGAAGTTTGAACACTTTATATAACATTGTCGTTGACAATATCATCAATAGATTGATAAATTTGATAGTATCTAATTTTTCGGCTACCAATATTTACTATTAATTTTGTTAGTCTATTGATGATATTTTTTAATGGTTCAAAGGTTAGAGATTCGGATTTTATTGTATCAAAAGTTTATAATTAAATATATATTTTTAAAAAATTTATGTATTCTCAAAATCAAATTTTTAAAAATACAGATGACTTTTTAAACATCTATTTTTGAAATGTGTGTTTTGTTCTTCGTAATCTATTTATGATAATTATGTTGTTTTCTTTAAAATAAATTTTTACGAACATAATATAACTCTCGAAAATTCATTTTCAAAAAATACAAGATGGTTTTTGGATGTATAAGCTATTAAAGGTATTTTTATCATTTATTAAATGTTAGAATTGGCATTTGATAAGTGAGTATTTTGGGAAGAGAATTTTGGTGATGTATAAAGAAAATTTGATAGTGTATCTATATCACTTCATAATGAAAACTCTCACTAAATACCTTTCCCTCCAATGAAAATTTTGAGATACGATGGAATCTTTTCATTCAATTACGTTGAGATAATGTTGGGTATCATTTTAAGATCATCATGATAATATAATTAAAGAGGTAATAATATTAACGAAGTGATCTTATCACTTATGATTTGAAATCATTTTATTTAGTTAATAATCATTAATTTTTACGAATTAAAAATTATTGTGTTTGATATTATTAAAAACCAAATATTATTTTATTTAAAAATACAAAAATAACATCCTTATTATAATAGTTATACAAGTTAATGATTTAAATGTTGTTTAAAGATAATAATTCATAAAACATTGGAATATTTTATTTATTTCATAATAAATATAATTAAATTAATAAATATATTTATTTATTAAGTAAACTAATTTTTATAATATAATTTACGCAAAAAATTTTGAATTAAAAAATAAAACTAATATATTAAAATCATAACAAAAAAACAAAGACATTATATTATATATAAAATATTAGAAAAAGTAAAAAAAAAAAACACAAATTATTTTTAAACTTGTTATAATGAATATTAGTTGAAAAATATAAAACTTATAATATAAAATAATTACAATTTTAAAAGGAATCAAAATTTTAATTTACATATTAAATAAGTAATATTGATATTAATTTTATATATCACTTCATCTTATTAATTAAATTTTTTTATAATTTTAAACGTGCATTAAATCACTCTCTAAGATAATTATATAATTTCTTTTGATGATCTAAAATTACTATCACATAATTATATTATCATTTTCGATGATCTAAAATTATTATCACATAAAATCAATCATCAATAATTTATCAATCACAATTATCTATTCATCATGTGTAATTCACCACTATTTTTGAAGTGATTAGCCTGTATCAAATGTTACCCAATGGTATGACATTCACACTACTTATCGTGGTTCAATTGTACCAAAAAATAGGGTAAACGCCCGAAACGGGATCTCTGTCATGTCCAAACGGAGCATAAATCATCCCATCTTACAAAAACGAAGACGTTTTATCATGCATTGCGGTTGCTTCTTACCAGACTATTTTGTACCTTTTCGGAGCACAACCCAGCCCAACCCACGATATCAGAAACAATGATCGGAGACGTGGAGAAAATGCTGGCGGTGGGCCTAATCTGGGGCGCCACCAACGCCGCAATGCGCCGCGGCGCCCTCCTCTGGGACCAATCTCTCAAATCCACTCCAACTTCAGGCAACCCAACTCACAAACTCCACCAAAAGCTCCTAAATACTTTATCCACTTGGCTAACCCTCCTTGTCTTTTGGCAATACTCGCTCCCTTTCCTCATCAACCTCTCCGCATCCGCCACCTTTTTCGCTATGTTAAGTGAGGCCCCGATTTCGCTCGCCGTCCCCGTCACCAATGCAACGACGTTTGCTGCCACCGCGGTGTTTGGAATCCTGCTGGGTGAGGAGATCCGGGTCGCTTATGCTCTATTGGGTACGGGTTTTATCGTTTTGGGTGTTTGGCTTTGTATCACTTGATCTGCATCTGCTTTGCCATTTATGCTCTCTAAGACTGTCACTAACTTTTAAAAAGCCCATTTTCTGTTATTGTATTTTGTTGAAGACATGAAGTTATTATTTCATTTTTGTTTATGTAGTGGGAAAGAAATGGGATTCCTGAATTTTCATCCCTTTGGAAACTTTGTGAGGGTCTCTTCATACTGGTAGATTGCTGTTTATATGGGTTAGAACGTAGAAATGCTGTTTAAAACATTCAGGAGGAGGCATCTGTCCATTGAATCTTTTAGTATCTTTGCAGTAGTTATAGATCATGAAGTTATCTCTGACCCACTTCATCTGACCAATCTTGATACTGCTCAACTGGTTGTAAGTAGGGGAAGTCCATCAGTAAGTTGGGCATCTGAAGGCACATTGATTGATACTCACTGGCCCATCCCACTTGCAAGCTCTTGCCTTAAACCTATGGAATCTGGCAATGAAAGGTGCACTTTTCCAGTCAATCTTGATGAGCCCGCCTCTTGTTGCCCTATTGCCCGCATTCCATAAACTGGAGTGTACCCTCATTCCCTGCTTGTTTGGAAAAGCAATCCACTTGTTCTCATAGTTTCTGAAAACGCAAATTGGCAGGTTGTCAACGTACCACCTAAAACCATTAAGTATTTTTGGTTAGTTTCATGAGAATGGTGAAATATATTAGGATATGTACTTGCACATTTTGGTAGTCTTGGAATTCACTGACAAATTAACAACAGCAGCGCATTGGCCCTCATTTGCCGTCTACTTGAACTAGATTTCTAATGAATTTGTCTGGTTAAAAGACGCATTATATTCTAGCATAAATGAAGGGGAGTTAGTTTACACGACTTGGTGGGATTCCTGTGAATGGTGTAGTTGTGGAGATCAGCAGTTGGGTCAAACCACAGGTAGAATTTCTGTTATCTGCTTCCTTTTCCTTGAGTGTAGATGTTTGTGTTAACAATATGTGGTTGTCCAGAAACATTACCTAAGAACTCATAGTCGATCTTATCATGCTTGTCCCCAGTAGAAGACAGCTGCATATATTTGCGAATGCAAGATTACAATATAATTTTTGTCATTATGTAATTTTCTTCTGTTCTTTCTAGTTCCTGTGGAGTGTTTTAAAGACTAATACTTAAGGTTTAATTCCACCTACATGATTTGGTCATTGATGCAGTTTACTTCAATATATTTGGTTTCAATTAAGTTGCTTTTCACTTGTATTTCAATTATAAACTTTTAATCTTGTTGAATGTGGTTTCTTCAAGGAATGTGGTTTCTTCAAGGAATGCGGTTTTGAGTTATGGTAGCAGGATGAAAGACAACTGAATGTAGAAATCTGCTGAAAATAATCAAAAGTGATGCTATGGTGTATTTTATTTGATATGGACAGGTAGTTAGTTGTTTGTGCTTAGCACTATTGCACTTACAGAGTAAGCTGTGACTGTTCTGGCTGGCTTCCTAGGTACCAACTCGATTAGCATTTCAATGCTTCGTAATAAGAATGCCCAGCAGAACCTGAAAATCAAAGGCAGCATTGTGATGTCTAAAGAGCAAATTATATGATTCAGTTTAGTCTTTTGTTGTTTGCTTTAGCAGAAGAATCTTTTAATCAAGCACCGGGAAGTATCTGAAAACCGAAATTGGAAGAAATAAATTTATTGCAATAGGTTTACCTGAAGGTTGATCCAACACAAGTCGCAGGTCTTCACCATTGCCTGCAAAAGTTGAATGATGAGCCCCGACTTGTGTACATTGCTGTTAGAAAACCTTACTTCAACAAAACTTTGAAGAAGTGCAACTGCAGTGATGAAAAGAGCCAACAGCAAAGCTTGTAAACTAGCCATTTTCAACTGCATTAGACAAGCAAGCTCTGTATTTCTCAATCAATTCCGTTGAAATGGGATGCTTTTGTCCATTGTTCTGTTCTCGGTGACTTTAAATAGCCTGTTGCAGCAAATGTGCCTTACCAAGATGACCATTGTGTTATAGTTTTTTAATTAAAATTTGAAATATGTTGAATTTGTCATGGTTTTTGTCATTTTTTACCAAAATTCTGTTAAATTTGACAAACCTACAAGAGAATTAATGTCCAAAATAAAAACCAATGTAGTTTCGTTCGAAGAGTGCACAAACTAAAATTCTATCAAGTAATTGCTGGATAGGAAGTTGACTTTATGATCGTATTTTTTAGACGATTATCGGAAATACTATTAAGCATGAAATAAGATTAAGATCAGTTCAGACCAAACCCCCAGCTGGTATGAGTAGGAAGAGAAAAAACATGTTGTGCGTGAGACTAATACAATTACCAATGTCTCTCTTCCTCCTTGGCTTAGACTTGACCATAGTTAGACGTGGACAGCGTTTGTCTCCTGTCATCCCCTCAAAATTCTAATTGCTTGGCGACATGGATTTTTGAGCAAACCAACATTTATTTTCATGTCAATTGCAAATATGCCCAAAAAAGAAAAATAACATATAGAATTTAGGTGAAGTAAAGAAACACAAAAAAGTTTGTCCACATTATATGATTTCAATCACCAATATACTACACTTGGCTAACAAAATGTGGACAATGATTCATAATTTATATAAAACCAATAAATTTAGAGAGGTAAATAGGCCGTTGAGACGTTGAATTCTTCAGCTTTTTCTTTTGTTGAAATCTTTTGTAAAATGGAGCTTGAAGTATTGAGGCCTACGGGAGCATCTGAACCCACATGGCACGGCGGCAAGGCACCCCATTATAATTTACGAAGAGCATGTAGTAACCAGGAGGAGCGATGTTGCCGTGTATGGGAGCTTGAAGAATAATGTTATGGGTTTCTGGGGCAACGTTTTTGATCACTTGAATAGTTCCCAATTGAACCAGCCTCTGATTCATGGAGATACCATGTGTTGTAAAAGCCGGATAGTAAATATTTACTTGGAGCTTCTGCTCGTCCAGGGCCTTATCAGCTCCACGTATTTGCACCGTGAATCTGTTTCCATATTTTATCTGATTGGCGGACTTGTCAAGTACGATCTCTAGCCTAAACTTGTTCAAGTTTGGGTCGAAGTAGTGTGGCGAGAATTTTTCTACACGAACCTCAGTGGGAAAGAGGGCACTGTCAATGTATCCCGGGTTTGTATTGCTACCAGCTATGAGGATTTTTCCATCAGGAAGAAGTGCGAAGGATGAGTGGTACAGACGGGCAATTTGTGAAGGTTTAAGCTCGGTAAACTTGGAACCAGCTCCTCCCCGTACACGATACAAGACAGGGGTGAAATTTGGGTCCCTGGCATCGTCCCATCCGGCTGAACCACTCTGGGCACCGTTGATAAGAAGTACATCTCCTGTTGGAAGAACCACGGCGTCTCCCATGAGACGAGGGGATGGCATAGTTTGGATCTTCCATTTTCCATTCCTTTTGGTGATATCTATGCGAGCACAGTCTTTGTTGGCTGGGACAAACACTTTCGGGCGCTTTAAATCTGCCTGTGCAAATGCCTCGTGTGATGTACCGCCACATATCAAGACCTCAGCAGGGATGAGTTTACGTGTTTCATATGGTTGAAGTGCAATAGGAAGGAGACAAGAACTTCCCGATGCTGGATAGTTGCGGGCACCACCTGGGAGAACCGGGAACTCGTGGAGGATTTGCTGCGTTTTTGGATTGAGCAGAATCGAACGGTTGTTGGCAAAGATGAAGAGATTTCCGTCAGTTGAGAGGTAGACAAAAGGGTACAAATTGTTCTCCACTGCATCATGGGTCTCTGCCAGGAATTTGAAAGGGAAGACTTGGTTTTTGGCATTGCGCTGCCCTTCTGGTGGAACGAATTCGTATGTTGGGAAGTTACGACCACCAAAAACCATGAATCTACCATCTCCTAAGGTTACCTGTGTCGCATACCTTCAATGGAAAGGCACAAAAACAACTCAGGTTCAACTTCTTAAAACTTAAACGACATGAAAATGAAAAATTTTAGTGTAAATCAAGTTAAATACCATCTTCCATTTCCAAGTGCACCAGGATATTCTTGCCAATCACAGTTCGGGCAAATGTCGAGAATCCTCACTGTATCTGATCCGTTATTATAACCACCAGTGCTTATTAACCGTCCATTTACATCAAGGGCACCAGATGAACACCAAGTGTCATATTTCAACTGTTACAAAAAAATGTTAAAAAAATTTCCGTAGAAATTTCACCCTTCCTTCTTTTCACCATCTTTATCAAAGGAACCATAAATTTATGAAAAAACAGGAAAGCAAATAGGAGCTAAAATGTACCCTGAGTGGCCTAATCTTTGCAGTCTCAATGTCCAAGAGAACTGAGTGGCAAAAGCAGTCTTGCTCGTTGGTTCCCTCGACCTGTCGGCAAGGCGGGCCAGGCAACTTTAGTTTTGACTGCTTCCAAACCGTGGCGTCGAACATTAAAGCCTGGTCAATCTTGGGAAGTAAGATCAAGTGCATGGCTGAGACGCCTGCGTTTTGAGTAAACAGCTTCCACTTGCCCTTGTATTTAGTCTCAACACTAACATTTGCATTGCCTTTCTTCTTTTTTTGGTCAGCAGAGCCGTCATCTATTTTAAAGGACTCTAAATTATCGTCGCCGCCTTTAGCAGCAAATCCACCATCAACTGGAAAGAAACCACCAGCATTTGGTTCAATATAGCCGCCGCCACCAACGTGGTTGCTGTGTATAGGCTTATTAAAATGATGGAGGAAGGGGAACAAAAATTGGCAGTTCCCGGAGACAAAAAGGAGAGGTAGAATATACAGGCCTCTCCATAACATCACCATTATTGTAAAATGAATTTACTTTTGGAATCCCTGCTGCGGTTTCTTCAGACAGGCTCCTTCCTCCTTTATATGAATTGTCTTGCCTTCCAAATTCCTGCCCCCTCATTCCTCTCCGCATCTTTCTAATCCAAGGCTCTCCTAAAATGTCTCAGGTACGTACAATGCTTAGCGTTGGCTCCTTGTTTAGAGGAAGCCTAGGTAATTATAGGAACGCTATAATATTTCAATGGTTGCCCTGAAAGCCTAATTTCGGAAAGACTTCACCAGTGTAACAGAAAGTCTAATGGAGTTTGAGCTCGTTTGTAGGAAGATGTACCGGTAGCCAAATCTTTAGAGGCCTTCGTTATGTTTTGTTTATTGAGAAATTATATGATACACTGTAAGTAGATACAAATGGATTTGATTTGGTGACACATGATTTATCTTTTGTTTCAATTAGCTTTTTTTTTTTTTTTTAATGTATTAGAAGGAGATGTCACTTTATTAATTTTGCTTGTGAAATTAAAAAATTATATTAATAATGTATTTGATAATTTCTGTTATTTTTTAGTGGTATTACTAAATTTTTAAATGAGTTTATATCTGATATACATTATCAGTATATACATTTTATACAATATCAATAAATCAAATAATATCATCTTATAAATAATCAAACATAAATCTTTATTATCCCTTAAAATAATTATACAAAAATTTAATTGAAAAAAACTTTATGATGTCATCTGATTCATTAATACTATATAAAATTTATACATTGATATTACATCAAATATTAACTTTTTTAAAATATGAATTTCCATTCTTATAAAATTATTTAACGGTCATTTATAATGAAATCAAAATACTTTGTTATTTTGTTGTTAAGTTTATAATATTATTTCCTGGGTTGCGATAACAATTTAAATAACAATTTCATGACTTAGAAAAAAACAATTTAGATATGTATTTATAATACACTGTCAGTATATAAATGTTATATATTGTCATTAAATTACGTAATGCTCCCTCATAAAAAATTATTTTTTAATATATTTTTTGAATTAAATGTATTTACATTTTAAAATTTTAAAATTATTTTTTTATATTATATAGAATATAATTAATTGATAATATATAACATTTATATACGTGCAACAAATCAAATATAAGCTCATTGAATATTTATAGAATAGTTAAACACACCAACTAATACTAAAAATTTATTGAGAGATTTGTTTTTGGGTTTTATAGTCAAAGTCTTTGTTTATTGGGGACTTTTAATTTCTACTGGGTGGTTAATTATAGTGTTTTTCTCGAGCTAGGGATTCCTTGTATTGTTGACTGATTTTACCTGATTTTCATATTCACTTGCTTAATGGCCTTCAGTTAGCTGGAATGTTGTTGATATTACCGGTAATTAAGGCATGCGTGGCGTTTGAAATTTTGGTCCAGGGATTAGATTTCTATAAACGGAAAGAGTGAATTTGTTTTCACATTTTGGGATTTTTTTTTTAATTTAGGGACAAAGGATATATGGGTTTTGTTCAATATTTTTTTTGGATAGATTCAAACAAATTTATTTATATTAGATCGCTAAAGTTTATTAAATTTATGAAAAATTATCTTCACTTTCCTATTGATTTGAACCCAAATAATAAAAAGAGAAGCACACTCAACTTGAACCAACTATGCATTGTTTGATTTGGTTTAATTTTTCTATGTAAATGACAATTATAATGTGTATAGGTGAGTGAGATTCAGTTCATATCACTTATAATTTTTTTTATTATAATATTAAAATTATTTAATCATAACAACAAATTATATAAGAGTCTACCACTTATAGATATGGCTTCTATATAAAATTTTAATAGATTTCACATAATTTTGAATTAAAATTGATTAATTGTAGAATAATAATTTTTAGTAAAATGATCCTATGAGATTTATGTCAGGAAACCTAATCGAATTGTAATAAAAAATATGCACGAAAGTGCTAAAGTTTCCTTTTGATGCTTTTGACTTTTGAGGAAAAATTTTTCTCGTTTTTCAATCATCTAAAAAAAATTTACCTTTTATAAATACGTTCCATGTACTAAAAATGTCGTCTTCCCCTCTTTGTGCTCTGTTATTCCATGCATCTCTCTTCTAGTGTTTTAGCTCTTTGTTATTTTTTATGGGTTAATGTTATATTTGGTCTTTAAATTATAATAAAATATTTAATATGATATTTAAACTTTAAAAATTTTTCATATAGTATCTAAATTATGAATTTATCAATTAAAATAGTACTTGAAGAGTTATTTGTTTGTCATGTGTCATCGTTTGAGGCTAATTACTTTAGGAATAAGTATGGTATTGATTAATAGATTCATAATTTAGATATTACATTATCATAACGTATCGATCCGTAGACTCGATCGCTAGACATAATATTTAAGAATCGTCACTAATTTTTTTTGTTGAGGTATGATTGATTACCAATCCTATTTTTTGGTCTACGAATTTAAGATTGGATTCGAAAGTATGATTACACGTAAGAAAGATTATAGCATTTTCACAACGTCCATCCAAAGATAATACTAATTAAATTTATAAAATCCTAAAGTGATCTTGTTTGAATAGTCTTTTACTTATTGCTTTATAATTTTTATTTTTTATTTTTATTATTTGAATATTAAAAATTTTTTAAGTTATTTCTTACATTTTTGGTATAATTTAAAATATTTTTTTCATATCAAGAGTATTTAAAAAAAAAAAACTTATTTTTTTTGAAAGAGCTTCATTGTTGGATCTATTTTAATATTTTTAAAGTAAATCATGATTCTTTTATATCAATACTTTTGGTATGATTTTAAAAATTTAGAAGAAAATCATCACTCGTTACTTTTTCATAATTTCATTATTAACGAGAATTTTAATCTACTTTGAAACATTTATTTATTTTTTATATTAATTTAAGATATGCAAAAAAAAAATTATTGGTTAAATTTTCAAAATATTTCCAATATTTTTGGACTATTTTGAGAAAAACTCTTGTTTAAGAAATTCGATAAAATCACAACTTGTGACTTTATCATTATCCCATTAATAATTTTAATTTTTTTTTTGTGTTTGAAAAACTCTAAAATATTTCTAACACTTTTAGAATATTTTTTAAAAAATTTTTATATGAATATTTTCAATAAAAGCATGACTTATGACTTTATTGTTATTTTATTATTTTATTTATTTATTAGAAAAATTCTCAAAAATATTTTCAACACTTTTGGTAAATTTTTTAGAAAATTTCTTGATAAAATCACTACTTGTGACTTTATTTTTTATTAATATTTTTTTATACTTAAAAATTTTTTAAATATTTCTAACACTTTTAGAATATTTTAAAAAATTCCGTTGCGTAGATACTTTTAATAAGATCACCATTTGTAATTTTTTTTATTAATTTAAAAATTTTGGAAAAATTCTCAAAAAAATTTTTAGCACTTTTGTTAAATTTTTGAGAAAATTTCTTAATTTAAAATTATTAATAAAATCACCACTTATGATTTTGTTTTAATTCCATTATTTATTTATGTATTTTATTTAAATAATTTTTAACTAAAACATTTTATTTTTCATAAATATTTTCCCATTTATTTTCCTATCCCTATTAAAATTTGTACAAATATAATAAAAAAAACTCAAAAAATAGAAATAAAAATAATAAGAATATATAAAAAATTTGAGCTAAAAAATTAAAGAAGATAAAAAATTATAGAAGCAATATCGAAAATGCCCTTGGTTAAAGTGGTTAATGATTTAATAATTTGGGTGATTTGAGCAATTTTTAGTGGTTCAGCTCTGTCATTGAGCAATTCAGCTAATATTTATGTTGATTTTTAGCTATCCAAAGCTAGTTTCATCGATTCTATAGAGGTTTGGTCGGTTCAAGGATGGTTCAATTGAACTGGTCCAAAACTATTAACAGAATCCAGTAACTAGGTCAGTTTGCATAGGTTAAGGTCGAGGCTTGGATCAACACGTGAATTTTCCTTAATAAAAACAATGTTGTTTTGTTGAGCTATAAATAGCCAATTTTTAAATTTTTTTCCTTTCTTCTCTTTTAGATTCTCTTTTTTCTCTCTTTAAGCCAGCCCAAAAATTCAACCAAACCAAATTCCAATGGGTTTTCTAGAAACCGATGGTTGAAAAATTCAATGATCATTGAAAAAAAAAAAAAAAACCCAGATACTAGCCTAAAACTCATATTTCAATGCCAAAAAATTCATACAGTTGTCAAAAAATTAAAATTTTACAGAATCCAATGATGCAAAAAAAAGTTTTAACCCCAAATTTTCCTAAAATGATCCACTTAACCTCTTTTACACTTTTCTTGAAACATTTTTTTCCAAAAAGAAACCCAAGCTTCCTAAATTAAAGTTTTTATTTTTGGTTGAAATCTTTTTTTTTTGTTGCTTTTGTTGGTTGTTTGGTTTTTTTTTTCCTAGGATTGTGTAGTGTTGTTGTTATGGTTTTTTGACAAGTGAATCGAAACTTGACAGAGGTAGTGTTAGTTTTTCAAAACAATTTTTAACCTTCTTCCTCCCTTTTAATCGATAAATTGATTTTGTATTTATAGCCAAAATTTTTTAAAATCAATCCTAGATTTAAAGGGATTATGAAAGAAAATTGGGATCCTGATTTTGAAATCCCAACTTGCAAAGTTAAATAATAAATGGGTAGGGTTGAATTTGGTGTAAAAGATGCACAAAGTCATTTAACATGTTTGAATTTGGTGCAAAGATGCACAAAGTCATCTAGCAAACTTGAATTTAGTGAAAAAGTGCGCAAATAATTGACAAAAGAATTAAAGAATAAAGGAAAAAGATGAAAAGATAAAATAATAATAATAATAATAAATGAAAATAGTAAAATTAAAAAAAAAAACTTAATAAAAATTTAATGATCAGTATAAAAATGATAACAAAAAATATTACAATACCCACTTTCTTAGACAAAATAAATGTCTACACATATTAAAAAATTTTAAAGTTTAAGTATCATATTTAATATTTTACTATAATTTAAGGGGTATTAATAACATTAACCCTTTTTTATTATTACTAAATTTAAGAATAAATATCACCAACAAAAGATTAATTAGTATATATTAACATATATGCTCTGATAAAAAAAGGAAAAAATTTTAATTTAACAATTATTAAAACATTTCTCCTTTCTTTTTTCTTTTATTCTTTCTTTTTTCCTAAATGAAATGAAGAATGATGCTTAGTCCTGAAGAAATGTCAAGTAATTATTAACTTCAATATCACTAACAAAATATTAATTAATTTATATTAACAAATTTATAATTCATATATCATATTAAAAATTTTTTAAATTTAGGCATTGTATTAAATATTTTTCTATAATCTAAGAACTATTTATAACATTAACTATTTTTTATTATTACCTAATTTAAGAATAAATATCACTAACAAAAGATTAATCAGTTCATATTAACATATATGCTCTGATAAGAAAAAAAAAAAAGGAAAGGAAAGAAAATATTTTAATTTAATGATTATAAAAACATTTTTCCTTCTTTTTCTTTCTCTTCTTCTTTTTACCAAATGAAACGAAGAATGTTGTTTAGTCCTGAAGTAATGTCAAGTAATTATTAACTTAAAATTTTGACATAGATGAATGCTACACGGATTGCGCTATAAGACTTTCTTTAATGCAAGGTATAAAATCTTAAATCTCTTTAGGCTCAATAACAAATTCTTGTAATTCAATCAAAAGCAAATGTCTTCATATAATTTGAATATCAGTCGAGCTATATGTCTTCATATAATTATAAGAACACCAAAACCTTTAATGCACGTTCAGCAGAACAAGAACCCAGGTCTGTGTCTTAATTTCATATACGAACATTGACAAAAGGCCCAAAAGCCAGCCAAAATCAACTCCCAAATTAATATTTCTAACAACTTTAGACGATTCGCAGATCCATTGATAAATGATTTCTGTTTCTCCATTAACGCCAAAAACCACTTTTTTCCAATATGTTAGAGGCGAATTAGATCCCAATCAAAACAGGAAGAATGTCTGCTTGCTAATAAGTAATGACCACCCATTCTTCAGCTGGCGGCTTGGAGCCTGGCAAAAGAATTCACTGGAAGCTATATATATGAAAGGGCGGGACTTTGAATGATGGAGCTAGATCAGTAAAAGTCAAAGGATAAGGGGACATTTGGTCCCATTTGTCTTAACCCCTCGTGTCTTGTCTTTCTTCATATATCCTTAGGACTACATTGCACAAGCTCTAATTCAGTCCCTCAAATTCCTTTTGTAGGAATTGGGATTGAAATTAATCCTAACAGGCAAAATACTCATAAACAAATTTCAATGGAAAAGTTTGATGGGCAGTCAATTAGCAAATGGAGTATATATATTGCCTCCCTTTTGACTGGGCGGTCACAGTTTCCCACTTCCCACTTCCCACTCACCACTCACCCTCATTCATATTTGATATCTCTCTTATCTTTTGGGTTTTGACTGATATTTCCTCCATGGGGTTGCTTAGAATTTGTATTTGAAATTTGTTTTCTAAATTGCTAAGGAATATATATATATATAAATATATATATATATATATATATATATATATTGGCTTTGAAGCTACCGTATCAGAAAAGAAGTAGCAAGTAAGAATCTCGGATCAAACTCTTTTCTCTTTAATGGTCTCGATGGATAATTCTGATGGTTGTATGCATTGTAGGATAAATAAATTATTTAGAACTAAATAAGGAGAATAATCCAGCAGCTAAAGCTTGTTAGAAGCTTCTATAAAACATTTGTTTTTTCTATTGTTAACCGTTATATTATATCCATATACATATATATACTTATATATGTATCTTTAAGTTTGTTTTTGTTTGATTTGTAAGGATTCAGATTACAATAATCTTTATTCAACGTAATTAATATTGTATTTTCTTTTTTATTTTTAGGGTATCACATATGTTCAAGTGAAAAGAATAATGACAAGAGATCATAAATTTAAAAAACAGATAGCATGAGGATTTATATATATTGGGTTTGCAATGGAACCAAGTCCTTTATTGTTCACTTAGAGGGGCATATATCCTGTTAATTACCGTCCTGTTTGGGAAAGGTTTATTCAACATTCTCACATTTTTCCCTTTAAGGAAGAAGTGTTATTGGGTACACATAACAAATCTTTCCTTCTCTCTCTTTCATTATGAAAAAGAATTTATATTTGATACATTATCAGTGTATAAATTTTATATACTATCAGTGATAATAATAATTTATTAATGAAGTGAATCTAACGATAATATCTTGTTAATGAATAAATTATTTTAACTTGTGTACATTTATTTTAAGAATTAATATTTGCTCATTAATAAATTATCATCATTTGATTCTTTAATAACGTATAAAATTTATATACTGATAATATATCAAATATAAACTCTATAAAAAATGTGAGCTAACTTGAGTTTGTTTTTATCCGGCCAAAGTCATGCCAAAACACATTTATATTTATATTTGTCCTTTTGTCCAATAGCTTCCTTTCCCTTCAATTGTGATCATTAGTGATTTAGGTTCAAATTAATCTGAATACCCAAAAGTAATCTTTGTAAGCTTTTTGGTCTGGATGACCAATTATCTTTTCCATGATTGACATATTAATACAGCTGTATGTGGGGGTATATTCATAGCTTTTACACTGCATATTAAAGTAGGCAACTTTTTGAACAGTGAAAGCAGTCCAAAACACGTCAAGGTCACTTATAATGCACTGTTCTTGAGGCAGTGACAAAACAGAAATTGATGTTATAAATTAAGATTGGAGCCAGTCAATTGAAGCTAAGAGTAGTACGATAAGATTAAATGTATAAAATGTTAAACTTTTAATTTTAATAATTAAGAATCAATCCTTAATAATATCAAGTAATTAAGAGAAAAGATACATGAACCCTAATTTCCAAGGGTTTTATCTAGGCTGAATAAAATGGAGGATTAATCTGATAGGTTATCACGAGGGCTGAAGAGATTGTTGTTCTTCTCACATGTGAAAAATTACATTCACAATGGCTGCTCCGTTAACAGTTGATTGAAGATGAGCATTTTGACATTAATCTACTTTTTACCACATTTTCTCTGAATTAGTCATCCAAAAAGGCTAGACTTTAATTGTGCATGATTTACTGGCACATGAAAAAGGGAAAAGAGGCTGCATCTATAAAGATTGAAACTTGAGGTCTTGGTACCTATCTCATGCTTAATTAGACTGCCAAACTTAACAATCTAATCTTTACCAGGTTGGGAAGTCTAACTGAGTTTTGTTGCTAGCTATTGTTTCATTTTATGCCTAGCTAGTGTTCCATGCGATAATTAATTCAAGAGGAAAGGCTTATGCAGGTCAATTCAACTTTATGATCGAACCCAAATCCCAAACAAATAGACTTTAAAATAAGTTAACCTCTCAAGCAGTATTCGCACTTCTTTTTATGGCCATTGTTGAAGATTTGACAAATTTCATGAAAAATAAACCATGTAGCTTATATCTTCTCTCTCTCTGGTAAAGACTTCATTTCAAAGCAGATACATAAATCAGTTGATTAACTTAAGATTCCAGACCAAAACAAAATTAGAATTTTTAATCGCTGCAGCTGGGAGCCACCAGGAAAGCAAATTGCATAATATCGAAAGTATTGATTCCATTGCCAAATGCAATTTCTTGCATTCCAATTGATCGGCTCCTTATAAATTCCTAGCCATAGTACATCTAGGGCTTTGATTTAAGTGAAGAACGATATATATTACCCTAGTTTGGTGGCTTGATCTTTGTTACATTTTCGTTATCTAAAGGCAAAAGCACCTAATTGGCTATGTGGTCAGTTGTTTGCAACCATGCTACATAGTAAGTTCATGTATTTGAAGAAAATGATTTGATAGACATCCAAAGTTGTCTCTTACTTTTCCCTTAATTGAGAACCTTTAATCCCCACTCAGTACGTACTTGGTTAACCACAGTTTCCTTGACATGTTTTGTTCTTAATTTCCTTTTTACTTTCTTTAATTAATAAAGTGGCTAAAATATTGAACAATAGGAATAATTAGCTAAGGGATTCATCAATTCCATTTATGGGATTTACTTTGATTTCAAGAAGCTATATAGCCTTGAAATAATAGAAATTTGTAAGAGTTATGATTTTAATCCTCATCTCTTTGAAAATTCATAAACAAGAAGATCAAATTTTCACTATATCTCATGCAGCAAGTCAATCTACCTTTCATTACATAAGATTCCTTTCAAATGAAGTTCAAACAAGTTCATCTACTTGCTTGTATGTGAATTGAAAGACCAACTAATGCTTATCTTGGACTTACAATTGTAAGGGAAGCATAAAATTCAATCCTATGCATTTAAGTAGTAGAAAATTACTCATTACAATGACAGTCTGAGCTCCAAATCTAGCTCTTGTTTGTCACTTGATTCAGAATTATGACTACTGGATCCCAATGAGTTGCTTCGGTGTTTCTTGCTCGTTTTTGGTTGTGAATCCTAAAATTACATAGGAAAAGGAAGGGAAAAAATTAAAGTCGGTAAGAACAGAATCTTGGAATGCCATATATATAGCTTTTATTTCATCAACATTTACATAAGGATGTTTATAGCAACCTCAACATGCAGGTTTAGAAGCTGTCTGGTCATGTTTGGTTGTGCAGAATGTTGACTGTCTAAGATGCCACTACCGGGGTTCCAACTGTTGCAAATGATTGGAAACATATTAATTAATTATAAGCAAAAAATTATACCTAGAAAACAAGCTTCTAAGGAGAAATCAGGTTTGCACAAAAAGGGAATTGATTTAAGAAGAAATTGGAAAGTTAAATATATGTGCACCTTGCTGTATTACTAGGTTGGTAATCACCATATCTGATATTTGCTCTTTGATCATATTCGCCCAACCCCATCTGCAATATCAGGAAAATTTGACTGATTTAGTTTACAAATCAAGATTATATAGAGAATTACTAATCAAGTAATTCATAAGCAATCAATTCATAAGTTTCCTTCTTCTTGCTCTCATTACAAAACTTTCATTCACCAATATAATTATCCATGTATAACAAATACTTGGTGGTGGGGGAAAATTAGAATCTAGGGTTAGAACCAAGAAGTAAGCAAAACTAATTAGCAACTTCAAAGGATCCAATCCAATACACACAAAAGTATTTAGATAAATATCAGAAAGAAAGAAACAAAGAGAATTTGTTTCATCAAAACTTGTATGTTGTGATCTTGATGATGATAATTGAAAATATATATTGCAATATCCAATTCACAAAAAATCTTCTGCCATGTTTTCTCTTCTAAATCAGTATATTATATATACCTCATCATTTATTAGGAAATACAGCAGCTGCAAATGGGTGACACAAAATCATGTCAAAGATTCAGTCAATTAATTAATGATACACCGATTTTAATGAAAATAGAAAAATGAAATTTTATGATACTCTTTTGGAGAAAACAAAGAGCAGGTTCACCTACCACCATGCTGGGGTGGAAACCATAAGAAGCTGAGGAAGTTGATGAGGATGATGAATATGAAAAAGATGATGATGGCAGAGATGAATAAGCTGTCTGAACTCTCATGTCTTCCTGCATGAACACAAACAAAGATTTCTTTTCTCATGAAATTCCATCCACAACTCAAAAAAAAAAAAAAAAAAAAAAAACTTCACCCTATAATCTGATATTAATCATTTATTCGGAGAGCAAAAAGATCCAAAAAATTAAGGGTTAAAAGTGAATTTACCTGGCTGAAATTTCCAGGGTAAGGTCCATGAAGAGAAGGATGGTAGGAACAACCCATTTGTCCATGTAATCTGATCTTCTCCAATTGAGCAACACCAAGCCCTCTCTGAGGTTGCTTAGGCTTCTCTGAACTACCCTTCTTGCCTTTCCTTGAAGATGACGACGACGACAACCCTCCTCTTTCATTTCCCATGTTTGGTTCTCCAAAATAACTGCTGCCCATCTTCTCTTTTCTACTGATATATGTCTATGTCCAAGAAAGAAGAGAGAAGACAGATGCAGTTTGGCTTTGCAAATCCCAAGCTTTCTCTTACAGCAAACTTTCTGGCACAGGAAAGAGAGCTGCTGAGGAATCTGAGATCTCCACTGCCCCTTTTTAAGCTGTTTGCACCCAAGAAATTATTGCATCGCTGGATCAGATTTTGTACAGATTTATTAGAGATATTTCTATATACACACATAGATTTTATGCCCTTTTTTTCCACTACCTCTCCTTTACCTCATTTTTTTAGTGTTCTTCTTCTATTTTTTATTGCTACAATATAAAAAAAATTCCCTCTCATTATATTTGTTTTTTATTGATTTTTTAGTAAAAAAATACTGTTAATTATAATTTTTAATTTATTAAGTACCAGTTTTAAATGGACTTTGAAGCCAAAGACCTGACTGTCTCTTTCAAAATTGCGTTAGCCACCAGATTCTAACCGAACGCGCCATTGCTGCGCGATTGGTCGTCCATAGCTTCAACTTCGCCTATGGTGCAAGAGTGCATGTCACGCTCCTTAAAAAGAAGGTAAGGTAGCAATAGCAATTTTGATTGAAAATTTTTCATGCCTAATGTACACATATAAGCTATTTGCTTGAATATATCAGCTTTCATTTGTTTATTAGTATTTACTTTTGTTCGTGTAAGAATTTTTAGTTTTGAGTTCCATTTTTTTTTTAATGATGGGATTTTTTTAATTCAAAAAAACCCAAAAAAAATAAAAATTCTCCTAATTGTAAAAAAATTGTCTATTACGAAAAGGAAAGTATAAAATAAAAATTTAGGGAAAAAAGTTACTATAAAGTCAGACCAAATGACATTTAATTATAGATTCTAGAAATCATGTTTGCAGCTTAAAAGGGATTCTCTTCTTAATGAGAAATTAAAGATATTCTTGGGATTATATCCAAATTTGTATCAATATCAAATTTTTTGTTTTAAATGTTTCTATAAAAGATATCATTTCTCAAAAAAATTCAAATTCTCCGAAATGAAATAGTTTTTCCATTGTTAAAAATAAAATAAAATAAGAATTCAAAATTTAGTTCAATTTATTTATATAATTATAAGAAATGACATCAATCAAAATTTGAGATTCAAATTTTAATTATCTAGAGTTTTTTTGTATAAATAATAACATAAAACAAAACTTGTGAAAAAATAATTAATTAATGCTAAATATTGAGGCTAATTTGACCAAAAGGTGGGGATAATTTGAGAAGTGGGGAAAGATATGAAGTTAATTAGAATTAGGCAAAGGGAGACAAATCTAATTGAGCTGTTTAACCCATGATTTGTGGGTCATATTTTTATGAGTTGTGTGTGTGTGTGTGTGTGTGTGTGGTGGAAAATGAGAATCTTCCAATTTCTTATACATTAGACATGTGAACTACTGCAATTACCAAAGAAACCCCTCATTTATCACTTCCCAAACTATGGCATTTGCTGTGTAAATGCAAACAAATCCTTCTCTTTTTCCACTAAAAACTATGATCATTAGAGCATCATCAAGGATAAAGTTCTTATAATAATACCCACCGTTTAAACTCATCACAGCTTGGAGACATCAGGAGTTTTGCTCTATAGCCTTTGAAATTCATCATCCAAGCTCATCACAATGTCTTCCAAAATTTTTTTTTTTTTAAGAAAATAATCATACCCTATTCTTTGAACAGAAGGATCGTATCCAGTACTGAATCAAAAGTCAAGTGTAAATCTTTTTAAATTATTAAACACAAAAAATAATTAACCAAAATTATATATTCTTTCATGACAAGACATATAATATAAGTTAAATTGAATATTTTCCTTTAAATAAAAAGATTTGTTAAATCCTGAATAATGAATCTATTATTTTGTAGACTTTTGAAGATACTAACTAGAATTAGTCAGATGAACCTTGAGTTAGAAATTGGATTCCAATAAAATTAGGTTTCAATTCTTAATATTGCAGATTCTTCTTTCTCATCTTTTCTTAAGTCTTGGACTCATTTGTAAAAGAATAAAACCTAGAACCAATCATGAGTGAAACTTTCTTTAAAGTAATATACTAATTGAATGACAAATGCAAATAAACTAAACGAAGCTGCTTTATGATGTAGATGTTATGCCAAGCATCGATATCGATGTAAGCGATTTAATTAAAATATATAAATCGAATGGATACATTTGAGTTTTACAACATTAAAAGCTAAGCATTAGTCAAATAGGGGCGTGGTATCATTGTTCAAATTATGATCAATCCCAATCCAACAGGTTTGTTAATTATTTATAATTAAGAGTCTCCTCATCACTCTTCTGTTTTTGTCCAAAGATGCTTGAAACAAATGAGCATCTAGAGATTATTATTAATTAAACATCCTAAATATTATTGGTTAAAAAATATGTATCACGTTAATCCAACACTTGCTTTGTTTCCGGAATTTGTTAATCTTCTGGTCTCTCTGCATGCTATAGCTTTGATATGCCAAAAAAACCCTGTGAAAAATGCTGCCTTTGCTTAATAAGATAGTGTATAATAATTAATTATATAATTTTCAACACTACTTATTTAATTCCATGTCGTGAATCAGATGATTTAGTTTAAAAAAATAAATTATTAGTTAGTATTTTAAACAATGTGACTGTTAATTGGCTATGACTTCGCATGGTAATATTGTGCCACGTATAGTCAATTCGATACTGATGCATGAATATTCCAATTAGTCCGAGTTATTAATCAATAAGAATAAACCATATAAAATGTAATGAGGGAGTAAACATATGCAGATAGCTTAAAACAAAGTTTAAAAGGAATAAAAAAATGAGAAATTAAAATTAATAATATGAGGAGAGAAGAAAAGAGGGGATATTATATGTTGATCTGATGAGTGACGGAGTTAGAGCAATGATAAAATAATAGAAAAAACAAAGTGTAGTGGAGAGAGATGTAGAGAATATCATATCCACTATGGATTTGTGGGCACATGCAAACTCTTACAAGTTGCAATTACTTCATACGATTTGCAAACCAAATATAATCCCTAGGACATCGCTGTGTCTATGCACATATAGTTTTTTTATTTTTTTATTTATTTAAAAGATCAGCCAAAGGAAACGGCCCCCCCACCCCACCATTCTCAAATCAACCCCTAAATCCCATCTTATATGAGATTCTAAACCTTTATTTTATTCTCAAATGGTACATGGGATTTGTTCCAAATTGCTCTCCTAGTTTGGGTTTTTGTTTATCAGTTTATCTCTCTTTCTTTTTCAAATTAACTGTTAAGGTTGAGAAATGTGGGGGAATAACGTCTAGGTATCTTAGCTTTTTAGGGTATAAATTATGTAGAAAAGAATATCCTAGGATTCTTGGGAAAGATTGATCCACCATTAGCAATTGTGATATGTTATCTTTACTTTTAGTATATTAATTGACATTGAATTTTTTTATTTCAATTTTTCTTGTTTACAACAATTTAATTGGTCTTTTATTATTGAAAATAGCTTTTCAACTGCCATAGTTTAGAAAAGTGCATATAAACATTTGCTTTGACCCTTAAAGAAAAAAGAAGTGAGATCATGGCATGCCCTATTATTTCACAGAAAAGATAAGTACCAATTTTTTAAATAAAACATTAGAATGCATAACTTTGCAGTTTTTTTTTTTAATCTAATACATATTTATGGGTTTATATTTGATGCATCAAGTGTATAAATACTATACATTGTTAATAAATGAGATAATAACATCTCATTAATAAGTAATTTTTTTTTAATATTAATTTTTGTATATTTATTTAAGGATTGATTTTTACTCATTAATGAGATATCATCATTTGACACACTGACAATACATTAAATTTAAATTCTTGTATATATCTTGAAAATGAAAAGTTAATCCCTTTATGAGATGAAGTTCATTGTTAATTGCATTGCAACTTCAAGTACCGTTAGAAAGTTTAGAATATGATTTTTTTTTTTTAGTATAAAAAAAGCATGGCTTAGGGATAAAATGGATCGCAAGTGTTTGAATTTAAACTTAAATCTACTAATTTTCACTTTTAAGAATAATCGTATGAATTAATTTTTAATTTATCTAATTTTCTTTTTTGGTGCTTAATTTGTTTTCCTCCAATCAAAGTATTGGTTCCAAAACAACTGCAACAAGGTAAAATCAAAGATAAAGATATTGATTATGAGGTCTTACGTAGATTTAAGTCTCACGGCATTTGGATTTGGTTGTTTAGTTATATTTTATTTGTTTGTTAATTATTATTCAATAATTGTCATTTAATTATAATGTAAGAATTAATTATTCAGTTGATGCATTTAATATTTGATCATAATTATAATTTTAAAAAAATAAAAATACTTATATATATATATATGTGAAATGTTCTGATCAACCTTACAATCTCATGGATCAAATTTTATACTATAATGTATCACTAACAAAGTCTAAACTCAATTCCTGAAATGTAGATAATGTCTTTAATGTATTTAAGTTATATTTGGTACATAAGATAATGAATAAAATAAGATTATAATCATTTTATATTATATTTGATTTATATATAAAAAAAATGAAAGAATTATAAGGAGGATTAATCATTCTCTTAATGTAGGATAATTCAATCCTCTCAAAGTAAAAAGAATTATTTTTAATTTATACGATTGAACTTACATATCTTATTATATATACCCTTAAAAATTATATCAATAATTTAAATTATATAAGCTTTTAGGAAGGATAATTTTGATTAGTAAATAATTATCTTATCTTAATATTTACATAGATCAAATACAAGATAGGATGATGTTATTTAATTTAATCTTATTTATAATATCATTTTATCATATTTTATCATAATTTTATATATTAAACACATTCTTAGTGTTTTACAAAATTTTTTACTTGAAGTCGATCTTACAGCAAAGAAAGATGCAGGGCCTAACAGATCATAGTTGCATTATGTATCTTAATTTGAGCTCCATCTGATATAGTCACACTCAATATTTATTCATTAATATATATATATATATATAAATATCTTTTTAAACTTAATTTCCCCCTTGTTAAGATTCCTGAGTTTCTTTCCTATGCCAACAACTCCAAAGTATGCATAAATTAGAAATTATCCACAATATTTGCATGTGTAG